CCAGCTCCACCCTCCACCAGGATAACCCTTCACATCTGCCAAGTTGCTTCAGAAAATATCTTCCATTGTCCAACCCATGATCTGACAGCTTGTATCTTAAGCTTTCTTGGCTTCTGTGATTCCAATAATGTCGACTGCTGACATTTTTTCTTTTGACCAGTGTATCTTAAGTTTAGTTGTGTTGTCTCCAAGGGAAGGTGACGTGTCCTGTAGAACTCCTGTGTAGATCCATGTTTTCCTTTCCGCCGGATTTCCCTGGGTACCTTTGAAAGACGCCTCTTCTTGTTATCTGAGGTGACTTCCTTATGCACCACTTTCAGGCTTCCCTTGTATCTCACTTTGTGGTTGACTATTGTAAATGTTTTCACTCTCTTAGTCTTCTTTTCTGTGTTTCCTTTTTTACTGTAGAAAAATCACATGGATTTTTGTATATTGATCTTGTATCCTGCCATTCTACTAAATTAGTCTACGAGGTCTAACAGGTTTTTGTTGTTATTGTTGAGTCTTTGGGGTTCTCTGGGTTCACTATCATGTCATCCGCATGTAGTGACAGTTTAACTGTCTCTTTGCCCATCTGGATCCCTGTTATTTCCTTATCTTACTTTATTGCCCAAGCAAGTACTTCCAATATCATATTGAATAGTAGCGGTGATAGTGGGCATCCTTGTCTTGTCCTTGTTTGCAAAGGGAATTCCTTTATTTAGTCTTTCTCTATTGAGAGTGACGTTAGATTTGGTTTTGTGTTTTTATATACTTTTCACTATTTTGAGGGAATTCCCTCCTATGCTATTATTTTGTTGAGTGCTTTAGTCTGGAAGTGGTGTTAGATTTCATCAAAGGCCTTTTCTACATCAATTGATAGGAACATGTGATTCTTACTTTTTTTTTAGTATGATGAATCATGTTAATTGTTTTTCTTATGTTGAACATCTTTTCATACCTGTTACAAATACCACTTGTTCATGATGAATTATTTTTTTCATATATTGTTGAATTTTATTGGCCAGTATTCTGTTAGGATTTTTTCTGTCTACGTCATGAGAGATATTGGCCTATAGTTTTCTTTTATGGTAATGTTTTTCCCTATTTTGGTATCAGGATTATGGTTCCTTCATAGAATGACTCTGGGAATGTTCCTTCTTTTTTCTATTTTGTAAAATAATTTAAGAATAGGTAATAGTTCTTCTCTGAATGTTTGGTAGAATTCACCTGTGAAGCCATCTAGGTCAGGTGTTTTTTTGGAAGGAAATATTTTTATGACCTGCTCAATTTCTTCTTTTGTTATGGGTCTGTTCAAGTGTACTGCATCTGTCTATATCAATCAAGGGGTATGGATTTCCAAGAATTTGTCCATCTCCTCTAGGTTTTCAAATTTATTAGAATATAGCTGTTTATAATATTCTGTTATTATTGATTTAATTTCAGCTGGATCTGTTGTGATACTACATTTTTCATTTCTTATTTAAGTTTCTTGTGTCTTTTCTTTGTTTTCTCTTGTTAAGTTTCCAGTGATTTGTTTATTTTATTGTCCCTTTCAAAGACTCAACTCCCGGTCTTGTTGATGCTTCAGTTGTTCTTCTGTTTTCTACCCCATTGATTGCAGCCCTTGTCCTTATAATTTCCTTTCTTCTAGAGGGTGTGGGATTAGTTTGTTATGTTTTCCTCCTATTTGATCGAAGTGTTAAGTTAAGCCATTAGTTTTGCTATTTTCTTTTTTAATGTGTTTGCCTGTTGCTATGAAACTTGATGACAGTGTTAGCTGTATTTCTGAGGTTTTGATATATTTTTATTTGCTTCAAGGAACTTTTTTTTATCTTGTTTTTTATTTCTTCTACAACACAATAGAGCTCAAGAAGGGTGTTACTTAGCTTCCATGTGGATGGTTTTTTAAAAAATCTTTTTTTAAATGCAACTTATGTATTTTTATAGCTTATTCTTTCCATTTAATTTCCCCCCCATTCATTCATTGTTGCACATTTTCCTCCCTGCCTCCCTCCCCCAGTTCATTTTTCTCTTGGAAAAAAAATTCTTTCTTTGTTATTCAATTCCCTCCCCCCCAAGTCCACAGTCCTTTTTACTATACATTTCTTTTTCTGTAATCTTGTCATAAAAATAATACCTAATCCTATATTCATTTTAAACAGTTCTCTCCCTCATCTGTTTCAATGAAGTATACATTATTATTCCCTCTTTTCTTAGGCTTCCCCCAACCCCGATGTCAGTCCCATTTTACAACAGTGACACTATGCCATATTTGTCCTTTTGTAACTGAGTGGTGTTAATTTCTAGTTTTGTTACATTGCAGTCTGATGATACTCTGTATTATTTCAGTGTTACTGAATTTGTGGAGGCTTGCTTTGTGTCCCAATATATGATCAATTCTGGAGAATGTACCATATCCACTTTGGAAGAAAGCAAATTCTATTTTAGTTGGGTGAAGTACCCTCAATTTGTTTACGAGGTTGGGTTAGCGCCTTGTATAGTTTAGTTCTTTTGGATCTTTATTTTCTTTCAAGTTGACTTGTCCTTTGTTGAGAGCTGTGTGTTAAAGACTTCCACTACTAATGTGGTACTTATTATTCTTTCTTAAAATCTGTTAACCATTGTTTTCTGTATTTTGCAGGCCTACCATTTTGTATGTTGACAAAATTATGTATTCTTGATCTTTTGTGACTTTATTCATTATATAGCGCCATTACTTATCTTTTTTTAATGATAGTTTTCATCCTAAAGTAATTTAATCAGAGACTAATTTTGTCACTTCTGCTTCCATAGGTGCCATTTGCTTGATCCTTTGGCTTTTAATCTTTTTCCTTGTTTCTTAGATATATATCTTGTAGGTAACATATTGGTAAATTTTAGGGGTTTTTGTATCCATTTTGCTACTCTTTTTCTCTTAGGTGGTGCATTCAGCCGTTCATAGTAAGTATGATTATTGACAGGCCAGGTTTTATTGTTGCCATTTTGTTGTGTTCCTTTTTCTGTTCTTGCTAGTTAGTTTGGCCCATCCAATTCCCTCTGGTGTCTCTATGCGGAGGAATTCCTTTAGTGTTTACTTCTTGTTGAGAAATCAGAGCTTAATCAAATTGGTTCTCCTGTGTAGGTGACTCCTTTTTCTTGCACTACTTTTAGTATTCTACTCATTAACAATCTGCGTTACGCAGATGATACAACCTTGCATGCTGAAACTGAGGAGGACCTGAAGCGATTGCTGCAGAAGGTCAAGCACTGCAGCCTTCAATATGGATTGAAGCTCAACATCAAGAAAACAAAGACTTTCACCACTGGGCAGAATGGCAGCATCATGATAAAGGGTGAAGAGATTGAGATTGCTCACAGCTTCTGTTTGCTTGGCTCCATAATCAACACTCTTGGTACCAGCAGCCAGGAAATCAAAAGGTGAATTGCATTGAGAAAGTCTGCTATCAGGTACCTCTTCACAGTACTGAAGAGCAATGATTTCAGTCTGGAGACTAAGGTGTACCTTATCCAAACCATAGTCTTTGCAATTATGTGCTATGCATCAGAAAGCTGTACAATGATTAGGAAAAATTAGGAAGGAGAATAATACCTTTTAGCTGTGGTGCTGGAGAAGAGTATTGAATATACAATGGACTGCTAGGAGAACAAACAGGTTCATTCTAGAGAGGGTGAAACCCGGCTGCTTCTTGGAGGCAAGGATTCCGAGTCTTCATCTGACATACTCTGGGCTTGGGAGGGTGGAATTATTGTGCCCAATGAATTAAGAGACATACAGTGTGGCATTACAGGTGAGGTCCTTTATTAGCTGTGCAATGGGGGTCCCAGCAATGAGGCAGGCTCACTCACTTTCTGGCATTGGCTGGGAGGTTTTTATACTTTTACTTGTCTCCTGTACTGGGCTACTTGGGCCAAATGTTGAAACATTTCACAGGAACAGTGATACATTCAAGGGTACATGGACACATTCTGCTGTTGAAACATTTCAAGGGCACAGTGATACATGCATGGAGTGCAAAACATTTAAACAATAGTAGTTATTGTTCTGAGAAGCAGTTCAAGATAAAGTTTGAAGACTCAGGAAAAAATTTCTCACACAGGAGTTTAGTTACTCAAATGGGGTGCTATAAAAAATGGAGTCTGGCTTCTCAGAATGACAGCGCAAGAGAGGAAGACCCTTGATGAGATGAATTGATTTAGGGGCTAAGGTAATGCAGGTAGGTGTGTCGGAGACAGTAAGGTTAATGCAGGACAGAGCAGAGTTTAGGGCTGCAATGCCCATAACAACAACAGCAAATAACATCCTTATCTTTCATTTTAGAGAATTTGACTATGAATGATATATTTTGATGTTTTTCTTTTGCAGTCTGGTCTGTTTGATCTTCACTGAGCATCTGGAATATGAATTTTCTCATTTTTCATTATATCAGTGTTCTTATAATTTAGGAATATCTCCTTTCTGTTAAGATAAGGGATTATTAAATTAAGAGCCTTCAAATTCCTATCAACTAACTTGGTTCTGCTTCATCCATTCCCTGAAAGTAAAATGAAAATGAGGTAAACTTCTTGCTGGTGAATCAAGGATTTGAGACTGAGATTGTGGGACTACATTAAAGTCTAGTATTTGGACAACTTTTGACCCTGCTGTTTCTTTCTGATTCCCAGAGCCCAAAGTGGTGTTTGCCAAGGAACAGCAGGCAAAGAGTGAAGTGCGGGCCGAGGCGGGGACCAGCGCCACGCTGAGCTGTGAGGTGGCCCAGGCCCAGACAGAGGTGACGTGGTACAAGGCAGGGAAGAAGCTGAGCTCGAGCTCGAAGGTGCGCATAGAGGCCACGGGCTGTGCTCGGCGGCTGGTGGTGCAGCAGGCGGGCAAGGCGGACGCCGGGGAGTACAGCTGTGAGGCTGGGGGCCAGAAGGTCTCCTTCCACCTGGATGTCACAGGTGGGTTTCCAAGGTTCCTCATAGCTTCTTTAGAAGGATGGATCAGACAGTATTTTAGGAGGAGTTGTCCTGTTTTACCTGCTCAGATATCTTTTTATCTAAGGGTATCTGACGTTAGCTAACTAGACTCTGAATGTCAGCTCATGTGCAAAATGTCCTGCTTTTTTCTTTGTTTTAACGTCAGCAAAACTCTATGAGGGCCTCTTATTATTCTCATTTGACATATAAGATTTACGCAAATTGCATAACTTGCTGACGATTACGCAGCCAGAAGATGATGACACCAGGATGTGCGTTCATTTTTGTAGGATTATTGGCCTTCTGCTTGACTTGTTCTGGCACCATTTATTAAAAACACAATCCTTTCTCCATTGAATTACTTCTGCTCCTTTATCAGAGATCACTTGACTGTATTTGTGAGTATATTTCCAAGCTCTTTAAAAAAAAATTACCATTATTAATTTTAATGACAATTTACAGAGATTTTGGATTTCCATTAATTCATTGTTGCACTTTTCTCCCTGTCCACCCCTCCCCCCAGTTCGCTCTTCTCTTTGAAAAGTAAAAGAAAAATTCTTTCATTGTTTTACAATCTCTCCCCTCAAGTCCACTCCATCGTGCAGCCTTCTCTCTGGACTCCTTTCATGACAATAATACCTAATCACATATCCCTTTTAAACAGTTCTCTCCCTCATCTGTTTAAATGCAGTATACATTATTTATCCCATCTTTCTCAGTCTCCCCCCAGCCCCGAGGTCAGTCCTGATTTACAACAGTGGCACTATGCAGTATTTGTTCTTTTGTGACTGAAATACTTCACTCAGCATAATGTCCTTCAGGGTCACCCATTTTGAATAATATTGCATGAGTTCCTTGTTTTTCAATGCAGCATAGTATTCCACTGTGTCAATATACCACAGCTTCTCTATCCATTCGTTTATTGATGGTCACTTGGGTTGTTTCCAACTCCTTGCTATTGTGAACAAAGCCGTGATAAACTTGAGTGTGCATACATCTGCTTGGATGGCAGTTATGGTCTCTTTGGGGTATATTCCCAGTAGTGGAATTGCTGGGTTAAATGGTATCTCTATTTGCAACTTTTTGAGAAAGCGCCATACTGCCTTCCACCATGGTTGTACCATTTTACACTCCCACCAGCAGTGAATAAGGGTTCCCGTTTCTGCACAACTTCGTCAGCATTTGTTGCTTGCTGTTCTGTTAAATTTTGTTATTCTTACTGGGTCGAGATGATATCTTGTAGTTGTTTTATTTCCAAGCTCTTATTCTTTTATATTGCTCTACTTTAAAACAACAGCTTTATTGAGGTATAATTTACATGCCCTGTAATTAATGAGTTTAAAATATACTCTTTTATTTCTTTATTTTTATATGTAGAAATTTGCAACTGTCATCACAGTTCAGTTTTAGGACATTGTCATCACCCTAAAAATATCGCTTGTGCGTTTCAATGTTATCAGTTGCCTTGGACACAGCTGGTCCCTGTTCTCCTAACAGTGCTCTGTTACTTAGCTTCTGTTCCCTTCTCTTCTGATCTCAGTGACTTTCCCTTCTCTTTGTTTATGGCTTCTTCTTTCTACAAAATCTCCTAAACATTATGGCTGCCTCAGGCCTAAGATCACGTTCCTTCTTCAGCAAGCCGTCATGTTGCTGTCCATCAATTTACCTCCCCCCCGCCCTTACATTTTATTTGTTTGTTGCTGTTGAAACTATACACAACAAAATATACACCAGTTCAACAGTATGTACAATTCAGTGACATTGATTATATAGAGAAAGCTTGTTCTTAAAAGTCAACAAACGAATGGGTAGAGAAGCTGTGGTATATTCACACAATGGAATACTATGCTGCATTGAAAAACAAGGAACTCATGCAATAT